GCCTGGAACATCTGCCCTATGAGGAGAGGCTGAGGGAGCTGGGCCTGTTCAGCCTGGAGAAGAGAAGGCTGAGAAGGGATCTAATCAGTGTATATAAGTACCTCAAGGGAGGGAGTGAGGAGGATGGTGCTGGCCTCTTTTCCCTGGTGGCCACTGACAGAACTAGAGGAAATGGCCAGAAAGTAAAGCATCAAAAGTTCCACAGAAACTTAAGGAAAAATTTCTTAACAGTGAGGGTGACAGAGCGCTGGAACAGGCTGCCCAGAGACCTTGTGGAGTCTCCTTCTCTGGAGATCTTCAAAACCTGCATGGATGCAGTCCTGTGCCACGTGCTCTAGGTGACCCTGCGTGTGCAGGGGGGTTGGTCTAGATGACCTCTAGAGGTCCCTTCCAACCTCAAGCATTCTATGATTCTATGATCCTGCAGCAATGAGTTTAGTTTTTAGAGAAACGATACATCATTCAGAATGATGATCGTACAGAATGATTTCAAAAGCTTTTCTCCTTGAGTGATAGCAAGTAAATTAGGGTCCTCAATTGCTTTATGGATAGTGAGGAGTGGTTATTCCACAAGTTGAATTTCACATGTCAGTTTACTAGTCAGTCACCCAATGTCACAAAATATATCCAAAACTCCTTGTAGTCATCTTTAGGTTCAGCTGTCCTAAACCATTTGCATCATCAGCACACTTAAGAATACCACTTCTTGCTTCATTTTCAGATCATTTATGAATATAGTGAAGAGTCTGAATCCCAGCAGTAGATCACAACAGACTCCCCTCCGCTGTGAAAAGTGACCATATATTCCTCCTCTTTTTTCCTGCCTTATTATTCACAAAAAAGATTTTACAGTCTTATGGTGGTGGAATTTCATCGAGGGACTTCAGTGAATGAGCTGAAGTTATATGAACAAAGCATTTTTCTCTCAATGAGGTTAAATCTAGTTAAAAAAATATTGTTTTTTTTTTTCTTATGAAAGGCAAAAATATGTTGACCATCTTTAGAAATTTCACATTGATCTTTCACTTGTCCATTTAGTGTCTACATTAGTCCCTTTTGCTACATGAAAAAAGTGCAGAGATGAGGTGTAAAGAGACATCTCTCTAGTGCTCAAGCACCTGGAAGTTTTAAAGTATTGGGGAAAAAAAAGAAATCCATTAAGAACACAGGGAACAAAAAAGCATAAAGCAATGAAACAAGTATGCAATTCAGTAACTAAATTAAGATAGTAATTTCCAAACTCTTATCTACTGATCACTGTTAGTCCTTGAGAACATGCTAAATGTTTGCAGATCCATATTAAAATGTATTTCACTTATCATTACAGTGTTTTCAATTGCAAGTTTGATGATAAGGCCAATCTTCACAAGGAATGGTGAAGTTGTCCATTAGCTTAAAGGCTAATTCAAAACTATTCTCTCACATATGTTAAATCTGGAGACATTCCAGTAACTGAGGACAGATTTCGGCCTCGTCATTATGGCATGGTCCATCTGAGAAGGAAATTACTGAAAGCTATTAAAGAAGGCCTCCAAAAAGCATAGATCTTACTATATATTTGCCCAGTAGTCATATTCAGATGATGCACGATTTCTTGTAAGGCAGCAGCTTTGTCATAATGCCTCCAAGTATCCTTATGTAATATAATTTCTGCATATTTTCCTCATCAATCCAAACTAAGGAAGACATATTATTATAGTTTTTTTTAAGCAATATGGGCATAATTATAGCCTGCCCATTTTTTTCATAGTAAGAATTAAAAACGGTCATATTCAGAAATTACTGGTACACTTACTGAAAGTCAGTCATCTGTTAAAACTTTGTGGCACATATAGAAAGGTCATACCTACACTGATTACCTGAGCCCTTGCTATTTGAAAGGGACCAGGTATTTTGAACAAAGAATTATCAGTTTTCTCCACTAAACTAAGCCTTTGCATTCCCATGACCCTCTAAGGATAGCAAATGTCTTCAGTTGTGTCTTGAATATTCCATGTGTTTGTTTTCACAACAGTTACCCACAGGGCTAATCACATTAAAATATTTATGTGCAAGAGAGATTGGCCAAGTCCAGACAAGCGCATTTCAGCCAAGTCAACAAAACCCAGGGAAACTCAAACAAAGTGAACACACTTTTCACAGCTCACATCCCTATGAGCGGGATATATTAAATGAAAGAACACAAAGGTAACAGCACGAACCTCAGACAATAATAACAGTGCTCTTAATAATACAGAACAGCCTCTAAACTATAATCAGGCAACATATTACCAATGTTACCAGGCAACATATTACCAAACATATTACATCATGCAATTTAATCTTAACTTTGGATTAAATAGCACCACATCTTGCACTGCGTCCTGGAGCAAGCCTAGGGCAGCAGGTTGCAAAAAGCTTGTGTCCCTACTGCTCCCAGGGTCAGTGCCACGCACTGGCTGCTGCCTCCGAGGGGAAGGCCAAGCACATGGAAAGAGGGCTCTGGAGACAAGCGGGGAACTCCCTCAGCAGCAGCTAGCCCGCCCTCCACAGCTGCAAAAGCAGCTTGGGGGCCTCTGCCAAGCCCTGGACCCTGCTTCTGCTCTCTCCATGGCCTTCGCTAGCCCCCAGCTTCACAGCTTTAGGTCAGGAAAGTTCAGTTTTGCATGTGGCCCTGAGACTCCTTGAACTGTCTCTCCATGATTTAGATACAGATTAGACTATTAGTGCAGCTGTGCTCTAGAAACCTCTGGTGTTTCCCGTTTCCTAAGCACACATTCAGCGAGAAAGAGCCTGCAAAGTTCCAGTTCATCAGGCTCCAAGCACGAAAAAAGGGGGTTGGAAAGCAAACGGAGCTCCAGAGTTTACAGTCTCAACTAGGAGCTCAGAAAGAAGTGAAACTCAATAAATAATCACTTATTATAACATACAATATTTCCTCTGTTGAAGAATGACCTATCTATAGTCTGTGCAATTCCTTCTTAAGAGGTTTGAAACTTTCTTCAGCCTCTATATAATAACAGTCTACAATCCATTCAGCACAAAAAAGCTATGGAAAAAAATGCCCTGTTCTCTTTGCAGTGTTTCCAAAAACACAGAGGAAAAAAAATGCTACTCCACATTGGGGCAGCGCAGGAAAATAGATGGAAGGAAAGAAAAACATATGTAGATGTTTTGGAGAAGGAGCATGTATTGGAGATGGAAATTTCTGTGATCTGTAGAGTCATAAAAATCTCCTGTGGGAAGAAGAGGCCAGACCTTGGGAAAGAAGATGTTTGCCTGCCTAGGCTGAGCGATACGGAGCACGGATGCAGCTGCTCAGCCCGGTTCATAGGCAGCCCCTCCCCGGAAATCTGTTGAAGCAGGCCGCTCAGCTGGGCTTGTAGCCAACTTCACTGCAGACGTCCTCCAAACTGGCTTTGGAGGTCAAACACCTGGAAATGAGGAAGGAAGAGGAGGAAGGCAGGACCCTCGAATTGAGGGCTGGGACCCCCGACTGGTATGCGCGCCTGCGCACCCGGGGGGGGAGAGTTGCGCAACTAGAGGCGGAGTTTTGTCTGCCCCCCGGACTGCCTCCTGGGTCGGACTGACCCTACGTGCCAGGAGGGCATAAAAGTGGACAGTGCGGAGAGAGCGGGGGGAGAGAAGAAACTCCTGGCTCTGAGGCCTACGCTGTCTCCGTGGGAGCCGGTCAGCAACTCTCTCTGATCTGTCAGCTCGAGAGGATGTTTGGGTCCAGATCGGCAGGTATCACCTCATGAGTAGTTATCCATACTTTGCTGCTTTTATGTGCTTTCACCTG